CCACTCATGGTAAGTATAGTGAGAAGACTCACCTCGTAAGCAATTAAATAAACCTCGTACACGAATCACCGATCTAGCCTCCGCCTAACACATATGATAATTATCTCTAATTAGCACTTCGATCACAACTCTAAATAAACCAAGCTATTTTCTCTCTCTAAATCTTGGGATGGGTAAAAGACCATTTTACCCCTCCATGGTTCCCATAATCCATGTCTTGACCAAACCCTAAAGTCAACTAAAGTCAACACTCGAGTCAACAGTCCATGTTGACCCGACTCGTCGAGTGCATCTCTGTGACTCGTCGAGTCCCCCTCGTTTCTTTAGAAATGTCGCGGAAACCCATATTAACTCGTCGAGTTGTCTCATCAACTCGCTGAGTTACTCATGTCCAGACTCGTCGGGGAAAGCCTAGCCGACTCGTCGAGTTGGCTCATCAACTCGGCGAGTCCCTTAAGTCTCTTTTTTCATTCAGATGTTTTAAGGCAGATTCACAACCCCAAACTCTAGATCTAGCCTCCCAAGGCTGAGATACCACGTAAAGCTTCAAGCTTTACGTTCATGCATGGCATATAGGACTCAAAATGCCAAAACAAGCTCCATAAAGGTCTTTACGCTTGAAGACCTGCCCAAAGCTTGATAAAGCTCGAAACTTTGGGCTCATAGGGACTCATATAGCTCAGATATGTAGTCTCAACTCCCATGACCAACTCAACAACTCCAAACCAAAACATAGATGGGATAAAGCCCTGAAACTCTCTAGAAAGAGATCTAACAAAAGGAACGATCAATGAGATAGCTTTTTACCTCCAATTGACAGCTAGCACCGAAAGAGCACTGGATCTAAAGCTTCTTCTCGTTCCAAACCTCCTTGCTCTTCAATCCTCTTCTAAAAATGCACTTGAACACAAGATCTTTAGCCTTTCTCTCTCTCTCTCTCTCTCTTTCTCTCTCTCAACGACTACAGCTCGTCTAGGGTTTCTCTTAGTGTGTCTAAATGGTCAGGGAGGCAGAAATGAGGGCTTAAGGGCCTTTAAATAGGGTGCAAGCCCTAAAATTAGGGTTTTCTCAATACAGACTCAACTCGTCGAGTCCAGCCCTTCAACTCGACGAGTAGGCTTCATAACTCGCGTGGCCAGCTCAGCCCCCACACGACGAGTCGGGACCAACCAACTCGTTGAGTAGGTCCTCCAAAGTGTATTAAAACTCTTAAATTTCTCATCCAGGATTCGGGGTGTTACAGTATACTGAAGACCAGTGGCTTATATTTGAAAACAATTGCTTGAAGAGTTAGAGAGTCAATATTGTGCATACCATAGAGTTTTTACTGACGGGTTCAATGAGGTATACCATTCATTGCGTTGGTTTTAGTCACCTGCACCTTTTCGGCCACATTAGTTGCATATGCCTTTGACTGGTTACTTGATTGCCAACAAGTTTGGTTTGATCTTTCATTGTTTAAGCCACAAACAATCTACGACATGCTTCCCTCTTTGGAGAGGTCCCAAAGAGTTCCAACTCCAATGAGCCATTACGTTGGCATTTGTAAACTATATTCATTATATGTCGGTGTTTTTGAAAGGAAATTACCCAATGCCTCCTACCACAACATATTGGAATACCCATAAAAGTCTGTCTGCTACATGGCAAACTATGTATTGGTCGCGTTTTGATTTATACAATAAACTTAGGTCTCGTACTTCTGAAACACCTTGGATACATATTAAAGATTAAGTACAAATGTATTTGAACTTATTATTATTATTTTTTGCGTCAAAATATTATTTTATATTTGAACTTTTTTTATTATTTGTTGCGTTAAAATATTATTTTATTATTGTTGTGTCGTGTTTTAATTTTTTTTTAAATTGAATAAAAATATTTACACATCTTTTATAAAAAATAGTATTATAAATTATCTATTTAATAAATGAAATAAATAATATTTTAGTAAATAGAATTTATAAATAATTAATTATAAATATGTTAGTATATCATCATAACCTAATTATTAAAAGTAATATTAATTAATAAAAAATATGTCATCATAATCTAATTATTAAAAAATAATCATTAGGGGATAGTGATAAGTATAAATGGGGTAGGGATAAATGATGCCCTCCGGATTCCAAATGAATGGTATTCCAAATATATTTCATGATTACATCGACGATATACATGATGTAGAAGGCGATGGAAATTGTGGGTTTCGAGCGATAGTTGTTTGTTTGGGGTATAATGAAGACCCGTGACTGTATATTCGAAAGCAATTGTTTGAAGAGGTAGAGAGTCAATATTACACATACCATAGAGTTTTTACTGACGGGTTCAATGAGGTATACCAGTCATTGTGTTGGTTTCAGTCACTTGCACCTTTCCGACGACATTGGTTGCATATGCCTTTTACTGGTTACTTGATTGCCAACAAGTTTGGTGTGATCGTTCATTGTTTAAGCTACGAACAATCTACGACATGCTTCCCTCTTTGGAAAGGTCCCGAAGAGTTCCAACCCCACCGAGCCATTACGTTGGCACTTGTACACAATAATCATTATATATCAGTGTTTTTGAAAGAAATTACCCAACGCCTCCTACCACAACATATTTGAATGCCCATAAAAGTCTGTCTGCATCTACATGTCAAACTATGTATTGGCCTCGTTTTGATTTATACAATCAACTTAGTTCTTGTACTTCTGAAACACCTTGGATACATATTAAAGATTAAGTGCGAATGAATTTGAACTTTTTTATTACTTTTTGCGTCAAAATATTATTATATATTTGAACTTTTTTTTATTATTTGTTGCGTTAAAATATTATTTTATTATTGTTGTGTTGTGTTTTAACATTTTTATTTTAAAAAATTGTATAAAAAAATTTACACATCTTTTTTAAAATAGTATTATAAATTATATATTAATAAATGAAATAAATAGTATTTTAATAAATAAAATTTATAAATAATTAATTATAAATATGTTAGTATATCATCATAACCTAATTATTAAAAGTAATATTAATTAATAAAAAATATGTCATCATACTTTAATTATTAAAAAATAATCATTAAGGGTAATGATAAGTATAAAGAGGGTAGGGATAAAATAATGATGTTTAATAATAAAAGTTAGTTAAATAATAATTATATAGTAATGATGACTTAAAATGTAAGATCAATGATAAATATATGGTAATAATAACTTTAAAAAGTAATATGATAATGTTGTTGGTGTGTGTCCATAATATCATCTCATAATTATTTTTATTATCTATTATTATTTTTATTTATCTTTGTTAGTATAGTTTTTTTTTATTAAATTTCTTTTGAGAGAGAGAAAGAGAATGAATTTTATGCCGAAAAAAAAAGTCTAAATTATACTTACCGAAACCATTAAAAAAAAAAAAACTAATGATAACCATTTCTCCAATTAAAACGAAGATTCCTTTAAAAATTGTAACTTATTCTTAAAAGTTAAAATAAAAAAGATTGTTGATCAAGGGCAAGTATGAGAAATCGATATACTTGAAGGATCAGATTCAAATATCCATCCCAACATCACTTCTCAACATAAAACTCTCTCTTGTCTTTAACCTACTTCTGCGACTCTGACTGTCGAAGAACGCCCTCAACCCTCAATGGCGTTATTGGGCGACGACGGACGTGGGTTCGAGCTTGCCCGGAAACTTGAATCTCAAGGCGTCTGGAGATCGTGGATTGGAGATGATTCTCTGCACGCCACCTTCTCTCCATTCTTATCATCGCCGTCTTCTTGGGAATCCTTCATGAGAATCGACGAGACCAAGTCTAGGGCTCAAATTCAACTTCAACTCCGTGTTCGCGCTCTCCTCTTCGACAAAGCTTGCGTCTCGCTTTTCCCTCTGTCCAATCGATCTTCTCCTTCTTCCAATTCGAAGCTCAATCCAAATTGTAAGAATTTCCTGGTCAATGTATTGAAACAATTGCTCTTAAAATTTGGCTGTGAATTGCTCTATAAAATCTCCAGATAGATGTTTTCCTTGATAAATCAAGCAATTGTCTCGAAATTTTGTTATGATTTTCTTTAATCACATCTCTTGAATCTGGTTATGAATTCTTTATCTTAGAACTATTTTCCACGATTTCTCTAGAACCTGTAAGATTCTTGTAAATTGCTTTGCTTATCGTTTGTCATGATAATTCCTTTTCTGTGAACTGTTATCTTCTAGTAATGTAGTGTGTCGATCTTCACTAGAATCTTAGGGGGTGTTTGGATAGGGAAAAAATAGGCTGCTTATTGCTTAATCCCATTGCTTGTTGCTTAATCCCACAGCAATAAGCAAATTTAAGTGTTTGGATAGGAGTCTTTAAAAATCAGCTTATTGCGGTAGGAATAAGCAAAATAAGCTGATTTTAATAAGCAGGGGGGGAATGCTTATTGCTTATTGCTTATTGGTCATTTTACTCATATAAGCTGTTTTGTTTTCCAAACACTTAAAATGCATATTGCTTATTGCTTATTCCCACCGCAATAAGCTAATCCAAACACATTTTAAAAAAGTGCTTATTCCCACCGCAATAAGCAAATAAGCAATAAGCTAATAAGCTAAAAACTATTTATCCAAACACCCCCTTAATTCAAATTTTTCATTCGATTGTTTCTTCAGATTTGCAGTTACATGGTGATGATATTTTTTTATACTCTAGAGAATCCTACACAAATGTAGCCCATCTTCAAAGGTATGTTAGCTCACTCTTCTCTAAAAACAAACCCTCTTTACTTCTGAATTATATAAAATGGAAGTTAACTCAAACTCTAAAATCAATTATCATGGTTTCACAGGTTCAACAAAAACCAAACTTTGGTATAGGATCTAGATATGGTACATCTGAAGATGAAAATATCTCTCAAAGATGCCCAGAATCATGGTACACTCAATTCTTTGAAAAATACAGAGCCACAAAACCCTACAGATTACCTTCAGGTGACAGAGAATCTGAAAAACGTACACCCGAACAAATGTCTAACTATCTCAAAATTGCCCAAAAGCATAAAAGAAGCCGGGCAGTTTTCATGGAAGAACAAACCCTAACTTCGGGCAGCCCCATGTTTGACTCCGGTCAAGGTCAAACCCCAGATGATGAATTATTTTTCCCCGAAACAATGTTTTCAGCAAACTCAGTTCCCGATAGTGCTTTACCTCTTTCAAATCAATTAGAAAATGTTCACATGGGAAAGTGTAATGGAGTTTTGGACAATTTACCCTTGCCCCTGATAATGACGAAAAGCCCCATTATGTTGGAGAGACTTGGTATAAGGCCAGAGTACCTTAACATGGAGCAACAAGGGGGTCTTGATAGGGGTAAAAATGGAACATTTGGGATGAAAAATGGTTTGAGTTCTCAACAAGCTTCGGAAATGTCTCGACAAATGGTGTCCCGGTTGTTGATTGATGTTGGTTTTGAATCGGCTTCTGGTGGATCATTGGATATATTAGCTCAATTAGTTGGGTGTCATATTTGTAAATTAGGTCGAATCTTGAAAGTCCTTTCTGATAGTTACAGAAAAGATTGTTCGGCTATTGGTCTACTTAAGATGTTCCTCCAAACAATTGGACATGGGTACGTGTGATCACATTCTTATTCTTGACTTTTGAGGGCGTTAATGTCTTTTTATGGGACATAAAGTTGCAATTTTTGTCTCATTGACATCAATCTATGTCCCTGTCCCAATACAATGCATGCCAGACACAATACAACTTGTTTTGTTATCAAAATTGAAACTTTTTATTTTGGTTTTTATTATTGTTGACTTTTGAGGGCTTTTACGTCTTTTTGTGGGACATAAAGTTGCAATTTTTGTCTCATTGACATCGGTCTGTGTCCCAGTACAATGCATGTCAGACACAGTACAACTTGTTTTGTTATCAAAATTGAAACTTTTCATTATTGTTGACTTTGAGGGCGTTTATGTCTTTTGGGTGGAGCATAAAGTTGCAATTTTGTCTCATTGACATCGGTGTGTGTCCCAATACAATGCATGTCAAAGAAGTACACCTTGTTTTGTTATCAAATTGGAACTTTTTATTTTGGTTTTTTTATTGTTGACTTTTGAGGGCGTTTACGTCTTTCGGGCGAGACATAAAGTTGCAATTTTTGTCTCATTGACATCAGTCCCAGTCCATGTCCCAGTACAATGCATGCCAAACACAGTAGAACTTGTTTTGTTATCAAAATTTAAAACTTTTTATTATTGTTGACTTTGGAGGGCATTTATGTCTTTTCGGTGGGACATAAAGTTGCAATTTTTGTCTAATTGACATCAGTATGTGGGAAAGTCTGTCAGTACAACGCATGCCAAACACAATACACGTTGTTTTGTCCTGTTTTGTTATCAAAATTGAAACTTTTTAAACTTTTTATTCTTAAATATTTTCCTTTTTTTAATATTTAATTATTCGACATGTTCTTGAATTACTTCAGTAACCTTGCGGCTTTTACCGAGGTTGTTAAAGATAGTTCCAAGAACAACATTCAACAAACACAAATGCAAGTTCAAGCAATGCAGACACAAATGCAATTACAAAGTCAAACTAGAGTTGGTCAACCCCATCAAGTCAGTCAACTTTCAATCTCTACTTCATATACATATAATATATATATTTCATTTCCACATAATAACAATTTTTGTTTATATTTTTTAATAGTTTGCAAGACAAATGCAAAACCAAATGGTTCATCCTCTACAACAACAGCAACAGTGGGACCGCATGCGAAGGCGTCAACCTGCAACTCCAAATCCTCGTGGTGTTGGTGTGATGAATATGAATTTGGATAATGAAAGTCAAAGGTCAATGGTGGAAGTCAAACTTGAAAATCCATCTGATTTCCAAATGGATAACAACAACAACAACAATAATGGTGGATTTGCAACCATGAATTATCGAAACCCTCAAATGCAATTTCGACAGCAGCAGTTTGCTGCCATGTCAGCGTATCAAGCTCAAAACAATCAGTTTCGACCAATGGCGTCTGTCCAAATCCCCCAACTCCACCCACAAGCTCACTCTCCGTAAGAAAGTTATTAAATTCAAGAAATAGCAACATACTTTTTGTTTTTATTTATCTAAAAAAAGAAAAAGAAAGAATGAGATTGAAGTTTTATTGATTGTATGCAGGAATATGGGAATGATGGTTAGAGCTCCACCTGTGAAGGTTGAAGCATTTCAAGAATTGATGGGTGGAGATTCTTCAATGAAACATGATTCAGATGAAAGTAAACTCACTTCCCCAAACTAATTGACTTTTCAGAATTAAAAAAAAATGTTTTTTTAATTATAACTAAATCATGTTGTTAAAATTGTATAAAGGGTCATTAATTGTATTTCTAAACTTTTAGTTGACTTTCAATGTGAATAGTGCTAATTTGGTAGTGTATGTGGTTACAAGCTATATTTTTTTTATAATAATATTTGAGATCTTTGTTGTTTAATACACTTGTATATTTTATACCTTTACTTCTACATCATCTATGCGTTAACATCTTGTGCATCATTCTTTATTTATTGCTATAGATCTTATTCTAAGATTTGTACTCTTTCATTTTTATATTATTGTAATGCTTATCCATTCCTATTGCATGTTGTACATGTCTTTAATGCAGACTTTCATTTAAAATAATACGTTGATCATGATGCTTATAATAAAAACATTTCTTTATGGGGTTCTCACTCATGATTGCTTCAGTATTTGTTGGATCGACTTCAATTCAATCTTGTTCATAATATGAGATAAAAGTTATATACTTCGCATAACCAAAAGTCACACTTGGAGAATTTCCATATAACCGTTTACATTTCAAAGTTTTTGGTATTTCTTGTAGATGACTTTTATCTTTACATTTCAAAGTTTTTGGTATTTCTTGTAGATGACTTTTATGTTGTTTTTCCTTTCAAGAGTGAACCACTGTGTCATGAATAAACACAATTACCTAATGATGCAAATATGGTTTACAAACTCCATCAATTAGATCCATAAATGTGGCCGAAACATTTATATGACCAAAATACATTCAAAAAAATCTTAATGTCCGTATGTTGGTCAAAGTGTTGTCCTCTCATGTCACTTTCCTTTTTCACTTAGCTTGATGATGACTTGACTCATAGTCACTTTAGAGAAGTATCTGCTCCTTGGGTCAACAATCATCAATACGTAGTAACATGTATTGATCCTGGATCATGACTTTCTTTAGTTTCATCATAATCTATACACATACTCATAGTCTTGTCTTTTTTTTTTCCTCATAAACAATATCGGTGCTATGCAAGATGAGGAAATCAGATGTATATACACCTTATAAAAAGTTCTTGCAGTTGTCACATTAACTCTTACATTTCCATAGGAGATAGTTGATAAGTTTTTGTGGCTCCCAAACTATATCACTTTTGAATTCTATTTGTCATTCGGTGGTATATTAGGAAGGTCAATGGTGATTAAAAGAAGTTAAAGGAAGTACAAAGAGAAATATCAAGTTGAAACCATCCATGGGTGGTTTATGATGAATATAGTGGATTAAAAGAAGTAAAGGAACAAATGCATTGGGTGTTTATTATCGACCGAGGATTGTTCTACATTCTGTTTGGGTTTGGAAGGATTACAAGAGAAATCGGTGCAACTAACAACTTTTTAAGAGAAAAATAATTTGGAAATGAATGATGACAACTCAAAACAATCAACATGTTTTGTGTGAACTTAGAGAAACCTCGAGTGGTAGATCGAGTAATTTAGAAAGACTCTATTTGGCAAGACTTATCCAGTTAGGGTAAAGTGAAGAATTAATCCATGTGTTATGTGACGCGTCATCACAAGTCAGGAGATGAAACAAGCGTAAAGCTTTGATTACCTTTGAGTTGGATCATGTTCATAACAGATTCAACATATACCAATTGAGAAATACCAACAAGGAGAGCTGATGGCCCCACCCATGGACTAGGACATGGAAAAGAATGAAAATAATGATGCATGACATGTACATGTCTGAGAATGAATGCAAAAGATTTATATGACGATGAATATCTTGGCCCTTAGGAAACTAAGCTTGTGGTTGGAACTTGAAGCAATACCATTACTTGTTTTTTTAATCTTACAAGACAAAATTCTCCTAAGTGAAGAATGTAACACCCTGATTTGGAGTAGACATCTGTGAAATTAAAAATAGTGGAAAATTCCAGCAAGGGGTTTAAAGATATTTTATTGTGAAACTTGGTGTTATAAGTGGCGAAAGGAAACTAAGATGAAATATTCCTTATGTGAAAATTAAGTCACGTTGGGAAATTAAAGTACATCACTACTTTGGTACTTAGCCTTAATTGTAATAAAAGTGTAAAAATGTGGTTTATTGTGATAATTGACAATTCGTAGGGGTCTTAGACAAACCAAAGTTTAGTAGTAAATGGTGAAAGTGAAAGTCATAAGATAGAACACCCTTCTTTTGTTAGTCTTTTTGCGGAAGAAGAGAGTGGGTGTTTTATTTAGATAGAACACAACCCATGTTACTTTATGAGAGTGGCGGGATCGATACCAAAAGTGAACTAGGTCCATTTTTATAATTTAGAGACGGATTGATAACATCTTTATTTCTAAGACTCAAAAAATTTTCACTTTTAAAACTGTACAAATTATCAATCATTTCTGAAAACCCATCGGAATTTGGTTACATAGTTTATCTAATCTGTTTTCATTTAAAAACTAACATGGTTTTAGAGTCAAAATACCACCCCCCCCCCCCCCCCCCCAACACCACACACACACACACACACCACACACACACACACACACACACACACACACACACACACATGGAGTTAAAGGACTTATTTGCTACATATTTAGTAGGTAACCAAGGAGGTTATGACCACTCTACATGATATACTCTACATGATATCAGTGTATTATTTGTTTGGATCACAATATATTTGATCATCAAAAAACATGGTTATTGTGAATCGAATTAGTTGCTTTTGAAAACCATCCTCAACAACGTATGAGCGTGAACAAATATATGACATTTTTAATTAAAGTAACAACGTTTTTTAGTAAGATAAAAAAATACTACTGATGCAGTTAAATCGAATCAAAAGTTTTGAATCTAATAGGTGTCGAAAATTCTATCAAGTATTTTTCGTATTTTCAACTGATGTTTTAAATAAAACCTCCCGTCAACGAATAGAACTCATCTTTAAAAATTAAAAAAACTTTAAATAGATTTAATTTTTAAAAACTAGAAATATTACATAATAAATATTTAATTTGCAAAAAAAAAAAAGGTTTAAAAATGGTTGCCAACATACCAACTAGAAGGAAATTATTTTGCAAAGGACAAAAGGAGCTTTAAAAGAAATTATTTGATTTAGGGATAATGATTTGAAAGGGTAATGGACTTTCGACTTTGTTCACATGTACTAAATTTTTTTTCATTATCTATTTGCCACTGAACTATTGAAACTGTTTCACATTTTTAACCCTTATGACCGGTACCAGCCGGTCATAAGGGTAAAATGTGAATATTTCTATAGTTCAGTGATAAATAGATAACGAAAAAAAGTTTAGTGACTACATGTGACCACAGTTGAGTTAGTTTCCCTCTCAATTAATCCTAATATGTACCCCCGAACAATGTATAAAAAAAACGAAAAACGAAGCAATATTATATGTATAAAGTTTTATGTTATAACTATGGCAAATATAATATGTATAAAAAGATTATCCATAATATTATAGTATGAAATTTTGTGTTAAAATGTGCAACATATAAAGTGACATACATTACACCATATACGTTGTTTTAAAAGAATACATACATACACATTGATACATTATGTATGTGTTATACTCCATATTTGCATACATCATATTAGTATATTACTATTAAAAAGGATCTCGAATTTTCATATTACACCAATATACATTAGAAGTATTTTTAATATTTTACATTCTTTTTTATTTTCTTAGTACTTTGTTTTTAACATATACATAACTGGTCCATATTCTATTAAATGTCAAAATTAGCCACGTTTAAAAAAATTGTTATGGATCTCCCTCGTTAGTTTAGAAATTTTTTACTTTTATTTTTTTTTTTTCATTTTTAACAACGATTGTTAAAAAAAAACAAAAACAACTGGTATAGTAATTTAATTTGTCTTGATTTAAAGCATCTTATTATTTTCAATTAAAGAAAAAACGATAAAGAACAATAGATATTTTATTTTAAACATACACAAAAACTTGTTCTTGAACAGTTTTGTAAGGAAACACACATAGTCAAATATAAACTGAACTGCGCAAAGAACTAACCAACAACAATCTGAGAGAGGAAAAGTTGAATCTTAATGAAACTAAGTAGCAACATCATTTTAAATCTATTATCATAACTCTAGATTTTTACAGGAAGGATGTCGCTCATAAGATTTCGTTAACATTGCATCACTCAAACATGAAGTTGAGCATCGATATTTAGATAGAATCAAACACACCCTATTTGTAGCCAATAATTTAGATTAGGTTTCTAAGATAAAACTAATTGATAAACTTTATTAACTAAAAACAAAATACTTTTTGGATAACCATTTAATAACTAGAAATAGTTAGGAAAACTTTAAGGAGTCGTGATGAAATATTCGATTTGTTATACCTTTTCAGGGTATAATAATAGGATAATTGAGAGGAACAAACTTTCAACTTTGTTCACTTTAGTCACTAAACTTTTTTAGTATCTATTTGCCACTGAACTATTGAACTGTTCAAATTTTACCCTTATGACCGTTGTTTACCGTCATAAGGGTAAAATATGAACAGTTTCAATAGTTCAGTGACAATAAATGATGAAAAAAAAGTTTTAGTGACTAATGTGAAATAAAGTCAAAGTCCATTACCCCATTCAAGTCATATGAAAACCGTTAATTTTATATACATATTAAGGCATAACAGCTTTATGAACGTAAAATATGTGAGGGCCTGTTTTTTTGACATAATGGTCCTTGAACTTTATTAAGGTTGCCAGTTTTGGCCTACATTTTAATTTTTATTCAGCTTTTGGTCCAATTTTTTAATAAAAGGCATATTGTTATGATTAAGCGTAATTAATGTAACTATAAATCAAACCAAACTAGTAAACTTTGATAAGAACTTTAATTGAGAAGAAAGAATATTTAGAGAGATATGAAAGTTTATCTCTTATAACTTTTGGTGTGTCTCATTCTTTACAATGGAGGGGTATTTATACTACAAATTTTACTAACATATAATTGTAACTAGTTAGAAATGTTGACAAATTTACCATGCACCAATTATTTACAACACCACCAATTATTTACAACACTCCCCCTTGGATGACATCATTTTAGCGTTCAACTTTGACGTACTGCCTCATTAAAAACCTTGCTAAAGAAAACCC